CTTAGTAACTAACTATAGCCTTACTTTCTCAAAAAATACTTAGCCGCGTCTACTACGAGGTAAACAGATTTAGGTTCTTGTCATTGGAAAGTTAGCACTGTATACTGATGCTCATGCAACTATATACTGGATATAAATTCAAAAAAAAAAAAACAGGTTAGACAATAACACACTGTCTTCAAGTTTGAAGAAATTTTTGATCGAGCAAGCAGTGTTTTCTTTTTCAGTAAAAGAAATTAACAATGATATAATAAACATATTTCTTTAATTCCTGAAAATTTGATTATTTAATAAAACATACATCACAAAATTAAGAAGCAATTAAAATGAATAAACAATTGAATACATCGATGTGGAAAGCATAGAGGCGTGTACGGCCATGATGCAACCACATAGCCTCTCTCCAGATATAGAAAGCGACGATCTCGGACAAGACATTGAGCCAGATGGGGCCGTCAGTAACGATATCATCAATCAAGTCAGTAATCAAGCCACACTTTGCTTTCTTTTGTTGGGTATGGGTTGCAGGTCCCACTTGAAAAAGCGATATTTTATCGTATAGCTCGTAAGTAGTCCCCATTTTAGTTGTCACGTGTTGTTATCTGATTACTTGAACGATTGTTTGTATAAAACCTCTTACATCGTGACCGTTGAAACGTGTCGACGGGAAAAAGAAGATTGCAACAAGATCTCGAACTTTCAAAATATGAAGTTTGGAACTTTTGAAAATGCATAATGGGATTGGCTCAGCTGTATGTAATAGTTACTACGATTTACTATGACATCATTTCGTACATATTCTAGAGGAAAATGATGTTGATACGTGTTATAGTCTTATAAGGTGACATGATCCCATGAGGGTTTGACCAGATTACACTTACCATGATCTCGAGGTCTGTAAGTCAGTATTCTTTTCGATCTGTTCACATTATATTTAAAATATCTTCAAGAGTTCATATGTTGATTCCTCTATTTTAAGTCTTAGGTTCTTAAAACATCAATTCAAGGAACTGAATTGCAGCTCTATGTCGGTGTTATCGAAGCTAGGTGGCTAAGTCGGTGATGATAAAGCCAAGTATCAATTTTCTGCAGTATATATGTTCTAAAATTTATATGAAATTAGTTATTTTTTGTACGAAATCTCTGTATTAGAATTTGACAAAAAAAAATCTTTGTATTAGAATAAAATAAATTTATTTTACAGACAAGATAGAAAATAGTCTAATCATCATAACTATATTTTATATTAGAAAATTAAGAATTATTTTCACTCTAAGGCAGTTTCAAATTTGTTATTATACTTTAAGACAGTTATTGTTCTTTAGACACTTTTCTTTAACTAAGTCTAACTATAACAATCTTCTAGTTTCCTTCGACTTCTCCTTTTGTTTCTTTTTAATTAATTTGTGTTTTAATTGTTTAATCTTTTACTTTTTTCCATTCACCGTAAACCATCTTCTTTCTTAACAAAAACTTGAACTTGTATTCTTCTATGACCTGCAACATCGTAACAACTTATTTTCGTTGTAGTTTTCATTTCCTCTGACTAAAACTAAACGATGCTTCTTTTCTGTGTCCCAGAGTAAATCTCCATCAAACCTTGATGAGTTTGATCCGGCGCATTCATGCCCCATCTCGGAGCTATACTGAAGATCAAGTCGTATGTATCGTAACTCTCTTGCATGTGTTCAAAAACGCGGCGGTGATAGTCGGAAATCAAAGAATAAACACTTAGCGGACATGAACAAAAAAATGTTGGTTATAATTAGTTAAAACTCGAAAAAAAAACTTGTTTCTTTAATTGTTTTTTGGTTAATCTAAACGAGATTTGTAAGTTTTTGTGTTAAAACCGCAAAGAAAATGATGATTAAGTGAAAATAAACTGATGGCGGCTTGAATTGAAAGTTGCAGAGTTTTCTGTAACCTAAAAATAAGAAGACAAGTTATTTACAAAATTGCCATTCATTAAAGACATGTTGCATAGTGGTTGTGGACTTTAACGATGTGTACACTGTTGGAGCATATCATTTTCTATATTGTTGTAACGATATTCGTGTACACCGTTGTAAATGGTATTTGTGTACATCAAAGTAACGATACTTAACCCATCTTTCCATGTACACTGTTGTAACGATATCCATGTACAACGTTGTACATGTGTACGGTACAAATTCCAAAAATGTGTACACACTCACTTTGATGTAAAAATGTCAAAAATGTGTACACACTCTCTTTGGTTGGAAACCTACAAAAACGCCAAAAATGTGTACACACTCACTTTGATGTATAACACAAAATTAAGTGTACAAGTGTACAATTTAAATGTAATGTACACACGATTGTCAACTAAAAACCCTAATCTCCGCCTATGGTTTACATGTACATATGTGTTATCTTTGTTTCTTATAGTTAAAAATCGTAGAACATACATATATAAAAAAATTACTCATATGTACATAGATATTAGATATCAAAATATACACATGTACACGGATGTGTACATACAAAACTACTTATGTGTACATAAACAAGATCTCATGTTGGGTTTGTACACATGCAATCATGTACACATATACATATATATATTCATGTTGTTTAATTCACGTAAACCCAACATGAGATTCCGTTTATGTACACATAAGTAGTTTTGTATGTACACATGCAATCATGTACACATATACATATATATTCATGTTGTTTAATTCACGTAAACCCAACATGAGATTTTGTTTATGTACACATAAGTAATTTTTGTATGTACACATGCAATCATGTACACATATACATATATATTCATGTTGTTTAATTCACGTAAACCCAACATGAAATTTTGTTTATGTACACATAAATAGTTTTGTATGTACACATCGATGTACATGTGTATATTTCGGTATCTAATATCTATGTACATATGAGTAATTTTTTTGTATATGTATGTTTTACGATTTTTCACTATAAGAAACAAAGATAACACATACATACATGTAAACCAGATGTATATTTTTCTAGAGTAAGCAAAGGTAACACATACATATATGGATAACATACTAGTATACACCGGTGTACATTTGAGTCGTTGTACAAGTGGATAATGATATGTCTGTGTACATTTGAATCGTTGTACATAGTGTAATTGTATGTACAACATGTTATGTACATATGATTTATATATTTTAATGAAGGGTATTTTCATAATTTTAACTTCATCTTCCCTAAAATCAATTAGGGTTTTCTGCAATTTTTCACTATGGTCGCCAGCCATTATTTTCACCTTAATCATTAGTTTTTTTCATTTTCTTGTTTATTATACATTTAAATCTCTAGAAATATTGTTTAACATCTAGTTTCATGTTCTAAATGACTCTGTTTTTACAACAAAAACATAGATCTTGCTTTTTCTTTTTTAGTACTGTCACAACGCAACGCAAGGCATATAAGTTACGAAGCTGGACAGAGAGAAAGAAGCTTGGTCGTGTTAATTCATGGCGAAGGAGAAGACAAACTGCAGTAAAGCTTGGCTGAGGTTCATCGGAGTTACATATGAAGACCTTGAAGCACAGTGAAAAAGAGTTGTGACATAAATGACATTTGAAAAAGAAGATGAGATCTGAGAAAGAAGAGAAGATGAAAATGAGATCTAAGAAAAAAAAGTTCAGAAAGCTGTTTTTATTTTATGAAATTAGTTAACTGGAAAAAATGAGATCTAAGAAAAAAAAAGATGAAATTGGATGTATATTCTAGTTACACTTTAGTTAGTAATGAATAGAATAGGTTAAGAAAAAGTATCATAAGAGTAGAAACTGTCTTATTCTGATATAAAAAAACTCAAAACTGCATTTGAGTGATAATTTTTTGAAAGTTAACTATAATTTGGATATTTAGCCCTATTTAGAATAAGTCATTATATGTATACCTTTATTTTATTTTATAAAACGTTAATCTGTAATCAGTGTTGATCAACCATAGATCATGATAACCTAGAAGGCTACAACAAATTGTTCATTAAGTTGGTCGAACCCACTACGTACTGTACGTAGTATCATGTTATATATGATTTGTTATTTTCTTGTTAACCAAAAATTTCTGAAACGTCTGATTCATGATCTTGAAGAAGAGGTTTTTAGTAACCAGATGAACTAGAACTACTATTATGTTATGTTTTTTTTTTTTGAAGCACCGAACTACTATTATGTTATTATAGATTTCTGATAGGTAAAAAATAGGGACGTTCTAAATGAGGATTGCCGGACAGAGGCAGTGCGAGGTGGGGGCAAGAGAGATGCTCCACTAATCCGATCATATTGGGGACTATGGGGGCATGACTTATATGCATCTCTGTACATATACAAAACTTGTTATTTCCTTATTTATTTTCATTTCCCACTTCATTAAAGCTATGCCACGTTAATGATATAAAAGGGAAGGGTGGAAATTTGCTTTTGAGAAATAATGCATTTTGCATATCTAATATGTAAACTTTTCGTTTACAACACACATAGAAATTATGAAGTGTGAATCCAAAATATAACACACGATAGTAATAGTATCATTATTAACAATTGACAAATAGAATCGGTGTTTGGACGAAGCAGGATTAGACCCGATTGTTAAAAGTATAGATCAAGTTTGTTATAGAGACAATATATGTTACTTTTTAGCAAATAAAAATGTAAGATGTTACCTATGTTTGTTAGCACAAATAAGGTGACTACCATCATATCTCAAGTTTAAAAGTATTTCTTTGATCCTCTGTCAATTTAAAAAAAAAAATATAATTAGTATTAATAAAACGATTAAAATAAACCACAAAAATTCCGTTCCGGATTTCCAACCATATAAATAAAACCGGATTCTGACATATTTGGGTTAAGTTCAAATTCAGCAAGACATTTCAGGTTTACACTGGGCCGAGCTTATAAAGCCCAAATTCAAACAAATGGGCCTAAAATTAGCCAAGACATTTGATAATAAAAAACCATAAAACTGAAAAAAATGATTCCAGGAAGAGATCGAAGCGACGGAGAAGAAGATGGGAACGGCGGTGGGGCAGTGGCTAGAGGAAGCGCTAGTTGATCTCTGCCGTAAACCGGAGACCGGTTTGAGTTTCGATCGTGATGTAATCTCCGGTCTAGTCTCCTATTGCGATCTCGCTCAGCCTGTCGATGCCAAGGAGTATCTCGACGTAATCCTTCTCCAATTCTCATTTGATTTTGTTTTTTTTGTGCATCTAGTTTTGGTCTGTGATTCTTGAGAATATGGATCGTATATAGTGTTGATTGGTTTCAATTGAGCTCAAACTGATTTGGTTTATGTATGGAAGAAAATCAGTTAGAAGATCTCTTCAAGAGTCAATGTCACTATGTTAGTTCTCAACGAGACTATTCGTGTTACTGATCTGTAAAGTCAGTTTCATTAAACATTAGATGAGCTTCTCACCATAAAATTTTGAACATTGGATGAATAACATTGTTTTGAACTTTTGATACTAGCTTCACATGTATTGAACCTAGTTCTTGCAGCTACTAGGTCAAGCTAGCTAGTTTTCTTGCAATGTTACCATTGTTTTAAAAATTGGTTTAGACGGCGCCTAGTCAGCAAATCAGAGCAAATCGGATATGAACCAAACGATTCAGTCTAGGCCTTCAAAAATTCACTATAGTCTTCCGACTAAACAATTATCCTCTATAAGGACGCCTAACCAACGCCTAGTGATAATTAGAACATTGAAGTTTACTATGAAGTCATTGTTGGATAGAAAGTATTAGCTAGCTATTTTTAGCGCCGACGTTGAGTACTTAAATGGTAGTGTATAACTTGAGGCTTGATGGAGTGTTGAATGAGAACATAGGTTATCCTGTACCAGAGTAAGTAAGATTGATTGATTTTGTTGATGTTGTTTATCCAGAATATTATAGGAAAACCAGGAGAAAGCATCATTACAGAATATCTACAGCGACGAGGATACAAAGAACCTTCAAGACATGTAGCAAACAGTTCTAGTCCAGAACTGCAGATGTATGTTAAGCCTAAAGTTGATTATGTTACTCCTAGTGGAACAAAGAAACCTTTGAAAACACCAAAGGAGGGAGCGTCTTCTAACCCGCAAGCTGTAACCGCAAAAGCAACAGCGCCCGCTTCCCAACAAGCTAACCCTAAGAAGAAGAAAGGTGGAAAGGTGATTTCTCTAGCGGAAGCAGCTAAAGGATCGATAGTGTTTCAGCAAGGAAAACCGTGTGCTTGCCAAGCTCGTAGACACAAACTAGTGAGCAACTGCTTGTCTTGTGGGAAAATTGTGTGTGAGCAAGAAGGAGAAGGGCCTTGCAATTTTTGCGGAGCGCTAGTGTTAAAAGAAGGAAGTACATATGGTGGGCTAGAGGAAGGTTTTACGCCAGTATCTGATGCTGATGTTGCAGCTGAAGCATATGCTAAAAGGCTTGTAGAGTATGATAGAAACTCGGCTGCACGTACAACGGTCATTGATGACCAGAGTGATTACTATGAAAGTGAGGGTAGTAAGTGGCTCTCTGGAGAGGTATATAATAGTCTGACTCTCCATTGGTATATGGTAAAACGACTCTCAGTGTATGTTTGGCTCATTTTGACCTGAGGTTCTGTTCTCAGGAAAAGGAACTTTTGAGGAAGAAGCGAGAGGAGATTGAAGAAGCTGAACGAGTAAAAAAGAGTAAAGTGGTTATGACATTTGATTTAGTTGGCCGTAAGGTAATCTCTATAATCCCATGTTAGATATAGACGTTTTTTGAAGTCTCAACTTTCGAGTCATTTATGTTACTATCCATCACAGGTACTGTTAAACGAAGATGATATCTCAGAACTAGAATCAAAGAACAGGATTCTGGGACCACCTGAGATTAAAAACGTTAACAGAATAAAACCGAACCCAACGGCAAAGCTCATTCCAATCTTTTTAGATCCGGGACCAAGCGAGAAGAAGGCAAACATGAGTAGCTCCTCCAAGAGAGACAACAAAAAAAACCGGAATGGGTTGTGTCTAGAGATCACCGGAAGGGTGCAACATGACCGGAGTGAACTTAAGTACTTACAAGCCGATCCATCATCGGTAATCGATGGGCTTCATGTTGAAGATGGTGGTGAATGTTCTTTAGACTTCGACTGAAACTTTCTCTTGAAGCCATTGGAGAATGAACAATTACAAGCAAGCTGTCATATCTTTTTTAGTTGCAATTGAAAATTTTAGTTTTTGGTATAACAGAAGCTACGGTTTAACGTTTCTAGTTTACCAGACCGGATACTTTTTTCTGGCTGAGTCCACGTCGGATAAAAAACATGGTTGATACGCCGTCGGTCATGACATGAATCACGTGTTCGCAAGTATTGGTTTCTCATTTGCTTGCGTGGCCCAATTTCCACATGTTCCTAGCTAATCAAAATCGTTTTGTTGGAGCACAATGAAGATTTTTCCCTTTGCTTAAAGAGCACTGCTTGTGGGATAGAAAATGTTCGAGTTTCGGATAAATTTATTAATTTTGTTCGAGTTTTTTGGTATGATTTGGTTTTATTCTTTTCTAAACTGAAGTGATTGATTGCTAAACCTACCCAAACTGAAAAACAAAATCTTAACCAAACTAACCTTTTTTTTATTTTTTTTTGAAACTCTACCAACCAAACTAACCAAAACTTTGAATAATGAACAAGAGTTTGTGGGAGGCACATGCCAGCTGCGGCCGAATACAGGCGTCATCAACCCTCGAGACCATTTTCATGCCTTTTGTTATCCATCACGTGGACTTCACACGCCCCTTTCGTTAAAAGTCAAAACCGCCCTTAAAATATGTTTCTAAATTCTTTTCTTTATTTCCCTGATGAACCTAGACAACAATAACACCGTAATATACTTACAGTTTTATTTTTCTGTAAAAGAATTCGTAAGTACGAGAGCACCCTGATCAAAATTGAACACGTACTCTCAACAAACTTTCCCAATAACAAAACAACTTTTTTACCTGAAAATAAAGTGACTCCACTCAATTAAATTAGTAATAAAATGATGACGTGTAAGTAAAGTTAGTGGCACGAAACGCAATAGAGAAGGACAAAAGTGGGAAAGCAAAAGGCACATGTCGGGCTCACGTGTGTCATTTACACGTCTTACTTCTTCTATGCTCTCCACGCGCCTCCTTCTTTCCCCACACGCCCTCCTCCTCCTCCTCCCCTCTTCTCTCTATCTTATTTCATTTTCGTTTCGTTTCCTACTAAATTTCTCAAACCTTCTCTTTAATATTCTCTCGTAGTCTGACTCCTATCGAATCCTGATCTCCCGACGAGTTACTGAAGATATATTTAAATTGGTAATACTTCACTGTTATCTTTTTTTTTATTTGACATGAAATGATGAGACAGTGAGAATCTCAAAGCACCTTCTTCAGTTTCATTTCATACAGTTTATATGTTGAGTTGTGTCACAGATTCGTGAATCAATTACCTTTTTGTCTTTTAAACTACAGGTGAATTTGACTCTCCGAATCTCCTACTTACCTAAAAGCAAGAAGATGGGATCCAAAACTCCTTCCACATCCACTGAGGAAGCAACTATAGATGAAAGGTGACAATTTTATCTGTTTATTGATTGATTGATTATTAATTTATTATCTTTGGTTTATAAAAAAAAAAGTGTTCATATTTGGCTGCAACAGGTCTAGGAAAGGCAAAGTACCCAAAAGGATTAACAAGGCTGTTAGGGAGAGGCTTAAGCGGGAGCATTTAAATGAGCTTTTCATTGAATTAGCTGATACACTTGGTAAAAAACATTTTGTTTCTCTATCCCAAAATTGTTTTTCTATAGATTTGAATCAACAATCTGCTTGAGTTGAGTCAAAAATGTTAGTATGATATTTAACCTGGAACGTTTTGTCTTTTTTTTTGTTCTTAGAATTGAATCAGCAGAACAGTGGGAAAGCCTCTATACTCTGTGAAGCTACTAAGTTCTTGAAGGACGTGTTTGGTCAGATTGAGTCCCTTAGAAAGGAGCAAACTACTCTCCTCTCTGAATCTAACTACGTAAGCCCACTTTCCTTTTATAAGACCCCTCCTCCTTGTCTCTTTTAAGTTGTTTAGTCTCCTCAATGGTCTAATAGTTGTTTTGTGATGGAAAATTTGGGGGTGTGTAGGTAACTACCGAGAAGAATGAGCTCAAGGAAGAAACATCAGTACTTGAGACAGAGATCTCAAGACTACAATCCGAGATAGAAGCAAGACTGAATCAGTCAAAACCCGACTTGAACAACTCTCCTGCGCCCGAGTACCATCATCATCAACTTGCATCTCAGTTTACAGGACTCCCCATTTTCCAAGGCCCCGGCTTTCAACAATCTTCTGCAACTCCTCCTGGTGCCACGGTTCTTGTCCTTCCAATGCATCCTGATCTCCAGACACAACAAGATACACAAGCGCCAGGGATGATGTATAATAATAGCTCAAATGTGAGTAAGCCATGTCCAAGGTATGCTAGCGCGGCTGACTCATGGCCTTCTCTGCTACTTGGGGAGCGGCTGAAAGCTAGCGAATGAGTCTTGGGCGGCCCCCACAAGGACGTGGGCGGGTTTAATAACGGGAAACAGAGACGGGGCAACTTGCAAAGGACCCTTGTTTTTTTTTGTATTTAAGCATCGTCTAGTGTTCTTGTGGGTTTTGGCCTTAGCCATAACTTGTTTTGTGTTGGTTTGTTTATAGGATCAGAAAGTTGTGGTCCTTATGGTTCTGTGAGAAAAATAACGAAAATAATTAGCTCCAAGCCTTGTTAGTTTCTTGTCTTAAGAGACAGAAAGACCACTATAATAAGTAATAGAACAAAAAGAATTAAAAACAGAGACTATTTGGCAATGTTAATATAGTTAATTTTGTGGTATAAAATTCCGATTATGAAAAATTTAACTATTAATTTGATATTAAAATGTGTTAGATACTACTGTAAATGGAATTTAAAATAGTTAAAATACTTTTATATCAAACAGAAATTATGTCAGATATTTTCTTGGAATTTTTCTAATAAAAACAAATATATATATAGATTATGTTTAATGTGTTGAAATCGTTGATTTGTAGTGTATAACTTTCGGTTTTTGAATAGTTTAGTATTAGTTAAGTATCGAAAAATATGTTGGATATTAAACAGAAATAATCTGAACATTTTTTGTAACGAATGGAATCATAGTATCTTTTAGCAAAGTTTCTCTTTTACAACTTGAAAATGGAAAACCAAAACTGAAATAAAAGAAAGAAAATGGATTGTAAAAAAAAAAAAAAAAAAAAATTGAGGAAATGAAATAGACAGTAAATGTGAAATTGGGTCTAAAGGAAACCGGTATAACAATTGATTCTGGTCTGGATCGGTTAAAAGTGGGTAAGGAAACTGATATTTTTGGCAAAAGACCAAAAAATGAGGAGAGACATCTTATCTAATATCTGTGTTCAAAAAAAAAAAAAAAAAAAAAAAAAAAAAAAAGACATCTTATCTAATATCTATCACCTATCGAGTGGGTAAGAAGAAACAGAAAACAGAAATGGCGAATTCACTATGCTTCTTCTCTTCACCTCCTACCTTTTGCCTCCAGTCTTCCAACAAAGCCACTAAACCAACTCACTTCTTCCCACTCGGTGATAAGAAGTCGTCGTTGGCTCAGAAAGGAGAAGTGTTTCAGACTTCCAAATCCAAAACCTTCGAAATTCAGGTCAGCTTTTTCTAAAACTATGTTTACTCCATTCACCGTTTCATAACTATAAAAGAAAAAAACTCATTTTTTGGAATCAACAAACAGGCCACAGACGGTACTCAGACGACTAAAACGAACAGCATAGTTTGTCAAAAATGTGAAGGGAATGGTAAGTGCTTAAACATTCTCTTAATTTTTACAACTGAGTTGTTTATTAGTTTGATAAATGTTTTTATGTAAAATGTTTTTGAAAAAGGTGCTGTGGCATGTTCTCAATGCAAAGGAGGTGGTGTGAATTTGATTGATCATTTTAATGGGCAGTTTAAAGCTGGTGGCCTCTGTTGGCTTTGCAGGTTTTTCTCTTCTTCTTTTTCTTGTTCTTCCTTCTCCTTAACTAACAAACTCATATATTAATATTCTCTTTAATTTCTTGTGGGCAGAGGTAAAAAGGAGGTTCTCTGTGGGGACTGCAATGGAGCTGGTTTCCTTGGTGGTTTCTTGAGCACCTTCGATGAGTAATAGAGTAAAGCTTCTTCCAAAAAAATGGGATTTTGTGCTATTATCAACTTATGAACACTCTTTATAAACTTTAGATGAGTTTTCTCTCTATCAATGCTCCTCTAAAACAATTTGTATTACTTTTTGTTGTTGAACACTCTATTTTTATTGTATTGTTGTTTTTCAGATACCTCTCTCTCTCTCTCTCATTTTTCTTCTATGAATTGAAATACTGTTAGGTTTAGAGCACCTCTGTATATAATATGTCGTTTAGATGGAAAAATTCAAATCGTTTGTATAATAAAGTATTTGAAGTTTTGTTCTATTAGAGTTGTCACCTCTAGTTGTCATAGTGATGTATACATATTAATGTTGGATTGAGTTGTCATAGTGATGTATGATGTATCCCTGTGTATTATAAAGGTATAAGAAGTTTACTGAAGGTTTTCATAAAGAACTTCAGTGTCATCGTTGGTTATTATTATAACAGCTTTACTCCGTGTTCTGTTTTATGAATGAGTTTACTCTGGTTCTTTACATATACACCAACGTTTTAATTACAGAACAAGAGCAGAGAACACACACACACTTGTAAAAACATTAAAAAGTTGGAACATTTTGATTTGAGTTTAGTGAAAAACCATGAGAAGCTTCTTCATTTCACTAACAATACCCAAGCTAACACTCATCATCTCACTCACCATCACCATCTCTCTCTTGATCTCCTCACCCACAACAGTCCCCATCTCCTCAACCCCATCCTCGCAAGTCTCACCGTCACTCATAGCCGCACTGATCCAACTCTTAACATTATTATCCTATATATGTATTGTATAGTTGATTTCTTTGTATACGTGTACATGAAGTCTGTATAGAGTATAAATACTGTCGTTGTACATTGTAAATGATTTAATGAGAATGAGTTTATTTTACTCATATGGTATCAGAGCAACATGAGCTCGTTCTCTAACTGACACTTCCGCCGTCTCATCGTAACCGTAACCGTTTTTCTCCGCCGTCATCTCAAATTCTTCCGATCTAGTCTTCGATTCGCATCTGTTTCTGCTTCCTCCTGCTATCTCAGCTCACAATCAGATTGTCTTCGACATCGGAGCTTGAGATCGATATCAATGGGGAAGCGCAACTGCAAATCGAAGTTCCGTCGTTCGTCACCGGATCCTCCGGGTTCTCACTCACCGTCTTCTCCGATGACTCGTGACTTGCCGTCTGGCTCTAATCAACGTCGCGACGTCACCGAATCTCCCACTCTCAACCGCTCTGTTCCTCCTCCATCTGTGGCTCGCTTTGAGGTATCTGACTCACCTGATAACATTCACTCTCCCTATCATCTTCTCAGTTCCGATCATCCTGGTTTAGTTCTAGCTTCGGAATCTCTTGATGGTAGCAATTACGGTGTTTGGATAGTAGCGATGACCACCACCTTCTCCGTCAACCAATCCCCACCCTTCTTCCTCTCCCTCTCTATCTCCGCCACCGACTCGTTGAGCTGACTCACCGCGTCGGCGTACAGCTTCACGCAGTCACCGACAGCCGCTTCCTCAGGCATATCGTTGATCGATCTGAAAGACAAGGTTAGGTTCGATACCTTCTTGGCAGCTGCTTGAAGCGAGAGCTCGAGGATTGATTCAGGGTCGAGTTTTTTTTCACCGAGCGAAGAAGAAGATAAAGTGTTGAAGCAGGTCTTTGGGTAACGAGTCACGGCGCAGAGTGTCTTGAGTGAGTTGGAGGAGTGAGAAGGACGATGAGTGAAGAAGGCTACGGTGGTTAAGGCGACGATGGTGAGGATCAAGAGGAGGGAGACGGTGGCGGTGATGAGGGTTTTACGGGAAGGTGGTGGATTGGGAAGTGGGGAAGGGATTTGGCTTTCTTGGTCGGTTACTTTGTCGTAGCCTTTTAAGGTGTTGATTGATTCCATTTTTGGACAGGACAGTTGTGATGGTTTTTTTTTGATATACTACTCGCTTAGGCTCACGCGCCTACGGGTAGCTGTGTCAGAGCGCCTCCCACGCTTGTTTTATTTCCCGTCAACCTTTTGGTTTTCCAGTAAAATCTTTTGCATGCTTTATATTTTGAAATTTGAAATTATTCATTAATTACGGTAACTGTAAAAATTTATCCCACCACTCTGAATAGTAACCTCCCTCTGCAATTCAACTTCCCATCTTCCCACTACTTTCAATCTTCGGTTTCAAACTGAAAAACTTCCAACTTTCTTCTTCTAAAACCTCCGATGTCCAATCTCAGCCTTCCTAGACGATATTTTGCTTGTGGTGATGAACCAGTAGGCGACAGAGTTGTCTCTTACCACAAGTATCGAAGAACAGAGCAACTAATTGAAGCCTTAGACGAGGACGAGTTAGCATTTTTCCACCGAACTCAATTCTCGAAGGTCCTCTCTCTAGATGATAATCCTCCATTTNAGATGATAAGAGATCTTGATGAGTTCCTCGCTCTCCCTTGGGGAAGGACCTCCTTCCAAAGTCTAGCCAATCATTTACTTCAAAAGGATGCAGTCTCACTAGCGCAAGATTCCTTTGCCCTGAAGGGTTATGTTGAAGCCATTCAACTTGTGCTCATCGCCGCTGTTCCAGACTTGAAAGAAGAGGTGACACAGTCTGCTCCTGTGGTTGTTGCTCTTTCCGAAAGCGAGGGTGAGATGGATGCTGAAGAGGAAGCACCGCATGTAGCTGAGGAAGGGGAGGCAGAAGACTTGTCTAAATCCCAGAAATTCGTTGTCAGGTTGCGCAATGCGAGAGAACTGAACACAGAGTGCCAGGTTAGTGTCAGGAAAAAGTAGTGATTTCGGATAAAACATTTGTTTACAGTTAATACGCGGAATACCGTTGAATAATTATCGCTTTATATTACTGTACATATGCTCACCCATCTGTTAAGCATCAGCAAATAATCTTTGATTTGTATACATATCGTCCAAATAAGTCGTGAAATGAAAATCCTTGCCTGAAAATATAGAAATTAACCGTAAATATTATGTTTACCTGGTATCATGAATTTTTCCTGACAAACTCATTATTGCCAGCAAACTTTAACGTCTATTTTATTAATTATGAGTAGGTGGCTGTTAGATCAATACTGAGCGACCCTGACGAGGAGTGGTATCTACAACATGACTTCTCCTGGCCCGACGAGGAAGATGATCCCACCGTCGATAATTTGGTGAAGCTCATCAACGAAGGGTTCGAATTTGAAAACAAGATGTTCAAGGGAGGTATAACATCTAAAGACCTTCAGAAGCTAAGGGGGCATAAACAGAAGGGTAAACAGCCAAAACACAAACAAGTTCCAGCAGATGTTGGTGATCAATCCGAGGTTCCGCAACCGCGCCAAATTGATGTTGATCCGATTGCCAACCTCGTCTCAGGGAAGATTCAGGAAGAACTTGCCTCAGTTGAGTCTCGCATAGCTAGGGCCGTCGACCTAAGATTATAGTCCCAAATGAAGGCTATGGAGACAAGACTAACCAAATGTGTTGTAGACAACATCCACGCGATGAAAAGGGGAGTTATAAAGGCTATTATAGATTACCTGAAGAAGACAACATCTTCAACGCCGAGCATTTCAGATGTCCCACAACAACATCACACAAACACAGCAAGCCCTTCTTTGAGTGGTCATGGTGAGGCGCCTGAAAAAGTACTCCCTGAACAGATGGCTGTGGACGATCCTCAACCTCTTGTAAACCAGTCCATCAGGCGTATTTTAGATGACCTACAAGCATCATCACACAATCAAGAGGTTTGCTAATTGTTATGTTCAATTACTTAATTAACTGTTACCCCTATCAACGTACCAAACATTTTATGATATCAGGTGAATGTAGAAGGGAATGTCTCTCAGCAAGATCACAACACAAAAGCCCCTACAGAGCACGAGAGAACAGAGATTCTGAACACGGAGGTTTTCTGCTAAACCTTCTCATTACCGCTAATAAATTTTTTTCCTGAAATTTTGATATTTTGGTGTCTACACAAAATTATATTTTCTTATTATTCTACAACCATGCCTGACGTAGGATGCTGGTAATAAATCTCCCTCCAACCAAGAAGCCGAATCAACATCGGGCAAGACAATCCCTGCTGTCTCAACAAGTCCTTCCATGGTATTACTTATCCCCAAGTTCTAAATAACATTTACACCAACCTAAGCTTCTAATCTCAACATTAATACAGGTTGATCCTTCTGAAAATGTCAATAATCAGACACTCAAAGACCCCACTTCCACGGATCCCACTGAGGAAGAAGCCATCTCTGATAAGGTTTCCCAGAAAATATTTAATTATCGTCTACTAACTGTTTTACCCGTAAAGAATAATGTTTACATATAACAATTTTGTTACCCGTTATATATGACCACTATAAACCTTATCTTTCCAGGAATTGGAGCAATGGGCAATGACGCTGGCGACTGCTATGGGAAGAAGTACCTCAGAACAAATACATGTAATGAATCATGTACTAATATTGATATCCTTTTCTCAAATATAATTGTATACTATCTTACATTGATTTTACATTGTCATAGGGTGAATCATCTCAGATGGATATTGATCCTCCATCTTTTTCTATTGGCCTCACCCAATTAGAGGAATCAGATCGTGTTCTTCAGCCTGCTCCACTTACTGTTGTGCTACCTCCCACTGGGCAATCATCTGGCACAGTGGACACACAAAGAGCCCAAAGACAAACAATCCCACCAACAGCTTTACAAGACTATGAGCTAGACCCCAAGAGTAAGCCTGGATTCCGCGTCCTTCCAGACCTTCACAAATTGTTCGACAAGATGAGGCAGCTTATTTCACCCACGGGGTTAGTGTACTCCTAATATTTACCGGAAATTTTAATTTTACCTGTCATCATTATATTTAACCTATAACAAAATGTTTTACCATGTTCAATTTTTTTTTTAGGTTCATTCACTTGGATGGTCCATCAGCTATCACTGGTGCCGAGTTTCTTGACATTGCTTTTAGGAAAACTAGAATGTCTCAACTGGTAACACGCAAATCTTAAACTTCCTACCACATATTAAATAATAGTCATATATACTAACATTATATTTCCGCAGACAGTGAACACTGTAATGCGCTTCCTCGCTGCTGAGCACGAAATTCCCGGCAAGTCTATCAAAGTCTTCGACATGAGCCTCCCTACTGCTATAAAAAACATCTACCCAAGGTTCGTCAAGATGGGTGTGCAGTTGTGTCCGAAATTCAAGTTCACTGATGATGTGATTCAGCTAGTCCGAGATAACCCGGTAGACTATATCTACTTCCCTCTATATGTTCATCCGTTTCACTGGATGGCTGTTGTTGTGGACATAAAAGCGTGGGACATACAAGTTCTTGATTGCAACGTCACCTTGAAGACAGAGGCTATGATCAAGAAGGAGGTCAATCCATTTGCCAACATGCTTCCTTATATCATCAAAGCCTGGGATCCTGAATCGAGCGCTGATAACATCAAGCCATTCACCGTCAGTAGGCCTAAGGTGCTTCCACAGGTATTTACTTTCAAACTCTCTTCGATAAATTAGCTATTTTACCGTAAACCTTATTTTTTCCCGTTAAGAAAACTAATTCCGGGAATCCTTCTATATTCTGATTGATTTACAGACACCCTCGCTAACCGATGATGGGGTCCTCACTTGTCTTTACGTTGATGCACACTGCCAGAAGGGATTGGAAACTTGCAAATTCCTAACCCAGCAGGTGCTCCCTGATGCGGCGAAGCAGCTATGTCTGAAGTTTTACCGTTACATTACCCAAAACAATCCTCTTAATCATCGCCAGCAACAATCATAAAAGTCTTCTCCAACTTCTTTAATATTACTTTCTTGTTTTTAAATATGTTGTTAAACATTTCCATTCGCATTTTAGACCTTCATACTTATTATGTTTTATTGGGATTGGTTTAATCTATTTCCTTATTTATCACTCATATAGTTCGTACACCACAATTTTTACCCGTAAATTGTAATATTTTCCTTAACAAATATACTTCCAGGGAAACATAAGTTAAACAGAGATATAACTAATCAATCCTTGATGTTCCACTCCACTTGCTCAATATATAGTGACATCTCGTTTAGACACTCCACCAAATTGGGTCTTCATTTTCAAAATTCACATAATATCATCTCTTCGTTTTCAGCAAAACATTACGATATTAGCGAATAAAGATCATTTTACCGGTTACCCAACTTCATTACTGATACAAATAGTTCAGGTTCCGGATATTACATTAGAGGGCAACATTTTTCTCCTCCCTTATCGATCTACACATATTTTGTCAACAAGGGAGGGCTTTGGGGAACATATTTAACATACTACATAGCAAAATAAAAGGTCGCCCCAAATCAGACCTACAAAAGACCATCCTACCATCCGTTGCACCTCTTCCTATCGATCACTTGCCTTCTCATATTGGCATTTTACAAGTGGCGCGATTATGATCCACCCCACCACATCTTGTGCAAGTCCTCTTCCTCTTGGAACGACCTGATTGCTGGAAATACAAATCTTTCCTGTTAATAAGTATAATTTCAGGTAAAAATAATTTTTGGTAATGTTCCTTACCCTTATTTCTCCGGCGGATAGTATCCTGCTCTTCCTCGGCCTTCCTGGAGGCCTGCGTGTGTTTGGCGGGAGCAGTTTGAAGGAGTCGGATCCACCTATGTCGAGGTGGTTAATGCTCACCGGGTTTATCCCACCTTCATAAGCCTTCTTCCAGTAAACGCTGCTGTACTTGACAGCCACTAAGTCCTCCACATTATGAGCTCTGTTAAGCGCAGCACCAAGTGCGTGGACACAAGGGATTCGGAGCCTATCAAATTCCTTGCATGAGCAGCTCTTCCTCTTCAGATCAACACGGTAAAACATCCCCAAGCTATCGCGAACTTCATACTCCTCTTCAATGATATGCCGGACATTGAATCCCGTTGAGAACTGGAAGTTACGCGCCAAGATTGCGGTAACCTTAGGTGTTACCGCGTTTGTGTTTGCGTTTGCGGCGTCACGCCTGGTAGAGAACCAACCCATCATCATGGTCCTGATGTACTCCAAAAGAGCAACAATCGGGTATCCTCGTGCTTCCGCCAAAGTTGCATTGAGTGACTCGGCTAAGTTACTTGTCATGATGTTGTACCTTTCTCCCTCGAAGTGAGCCCGGGCCCAGTGCTCAAGACCGACGCGCATAAGATAGTCTGCGCATGCAATGTCCATCTTCTTGATTTCATTGAAGTGGACATAGAAGTCCTCTATCTTATAAGCCCTAGCAGCTTTTCCAATCAGGTAAATCAGGTGTTTCTTTTTGAAAATTGTCTGAACGTTCCGCTGAAGATGCAGAATACAGGCGCAGTGATGAGCCA